CTTGACAGCGTTAGAACTGCAGTCGGTGGGAGCGTAAGCGGAAATCACAAACAAACTGCGTTTTTTACTACTTCGTGAATCAACCTTAGCTGATGTTGTCAAACGGGTTGCACACAAACGGCTGTTAATCGGAATCCATTCAATTAACGATGGCTCAGCTTTGGAGCTTAGAATGATACCTACACCAGGTTGACCCGTGAGTGCTGCATCGGCGTCTCCCGATGCGTACAACCAATAACGAGAGGATAAGCTGGATACAGTAAATTCAACAACCGCATTAGGGTCATTGATCCTAGTTTCGGACACACAACAAACATCAATACCCCGTGTGTCCAATGTGCGTGCGAGTGAGGCCGGTTGACCTTCTTGTCTTAGAGTGCGAAGGTTGAACGTAACCATAGAAACGGGTCGACGTGGACTTATAAGGGACTATTGCCGATAGGCGTCCAATAGGTGCTGTGGGATGGTGGCTGCAGATAGTTCTACTCCAGTGGCACTTCGGTTGCTGTCAATTAAGCTGAGAATTATAGAAGGAAGGTTAGTAATTGGGGGTCGGCATGGGAGTAAGAGAAACCGGTGGAAAAGAAAGAAGGGAAGCGCCAGCAGTAGCACGTTTCCGCTTATCCACCCTGTTGTATACTGAAGATAAGTAGACCCTTGATAATCTGCGCGACGGTCGATGCAGGATGACGTTTATGTTTGAAGAAGATGTCATGGTTGTATGTGGGCTGGGATACTGCCAGGGCATCCAGACCTAGACATGAGGACGATTAGGGTCCTTAACAAAAGCCTATGACTCTAAAAATTGACTGAATCACGGGGAATTCTGATCATCAGCAATCCAAAAATTCCCATTTATTAGAATGAATCAAGGGATGCAGAATCTGAGTGAGTAAAGAATTCTTCTCGGTAATTCTCATCAGACTCAAACATTACATGATGACGAGAAAGTGCTAATTATGCCGGACTGGGCTTCGTATTGAACAGAATGTTTAATTTCAACAGGCACAAATCAATAAATCACGGGGTCATTGAAAGTGGCAAGTATGTACAGGGGAAATCACAGCCGAATTTGTAGGCCACGGTAACCCGGAGCGGTACGTGTTTTACCTTTCTAGTATCGTGCTTAGTCCAACGCAACTAAATATGTTATCAGTAGGCCCTAAGTTTTGCAGTCCTTGTAAAAAAAGTTGATCAGCCTGCATTAGAGGTGCAATTCAAGAGCTTAATAGCGCAGGCGCGCGACCTGTCATCAAATTCGCCAGGGGACGTTGAGAACATGTTATCTAGCTTAGTAAACACCTGTCATGATTAGATTAAGGCTAGACCAGCCTGTAGTGGTTTTCTTACAAGCGAACATATGCAGTCACTTAGAGAGTTATGGTTAAACAAAGTTAGTTATCTCTAGGCCGGATAAAGCTTCCGGTATAGTTCTAATGAATAGAACTGATTATGTTAGTAAGATGCAACATATTCTTAGTGATGAACGTAAGTTTCAAAAACTAACATTAGGAAAGGATAATACCGAAGAGTTAGAAAACAACTGACCGATTTGCTCCGACGAATGATGAAAGCGAATGTTATCACAAAGTGCGAATTCGAAAAGCTGTGACCTTCAGGCGGACATCTACCACGGTTGTACGGCCTCCCTAAATTTCACAAGGAGGGCGCTCCAGTGCATCCCATACTGGATATGGTTAGCTCTCCGCAGCATTTGATGGCTCAATGGATGGTTGAGAAGCTGCAACCGCTGCGCAAAACCGTCTGCACTTACTGCGTGAAAGACACTTTCGAGTTCATTGAGAAAATAAGGGACGTGAACCTTAACAACAAATGGATCTCATCATTTGTTGCACAGTCTTTGTTTACGAATATTCCGTCGTTGGAAACAGTAGAATATGTCTGGGAACTAGTACGGCAACTGAATGTACCTATAAACATCCCGGAAAACCTCCTGAAGGAATTGTTACGCAGATGCACCTTACACGTACAGTTCACTTTCAACGGGGAGATGTATCGTCAAATTGATGGAGTTGCTATGGGCTCACCATTGGGACCCTTTCTAGCAGATGTCTTTATGGCAAAATTGAAGAACGCACATCAACGAAGTCGAGATGTACATATGTTATGTAGACGACACATTTATACTCTGCAAATCGAAAGCGCACACTGTGAAACTGTTGGAAACTTTTAATGTTGCGCATCAGAATCTACAATTCACATGTGAGCACGAAGCCAGAAACCGACTACCGTTCCTGGACGTTGATATCATCAGAAACGCCGATGGATCGGGCAGCAGAGCGGTGTATAGAAAACCAACTTGGACTGGACAGTACATCAACTTCTATAGTGCGGTACCCATACAATACAAACGAAATCTAGTCCGCACTCTTGCGTTCCGAGCACATAGTATTTGCACACCGGACACAATCACCAAAGAATTGCAGAGGATCGGCGACGCGCTAAGAGCGAATGGGTATCCAGATAAGTTCATCCTCAAACATTTGAAGAACGCAAGATAAAACCACCGAGGATGAACGTACCCAAGAAAGAACTAATTGTGCATATTCCTTTCAAAGGCGACAGTGCGGCTGATGTCCTGTCCAAACGCCTGAAAGACGCTGTTGAAAAGACCTATTTCGCAGCTCGCCTACGCATGGTATTTTACAACAAGCCTTTATTCGCAAAATCTTTGAAAGACAGGCTGCATCCGGTGACTCGATCAATGCTTGTTAATCTTTACTCGTGCTGCTGTGGTGCACGATACGTGGGTCGTACCACGAGGCGCCTATCTGATATGATTCGCGAACACGTGCTGAAGTGGTTTTACAAAGACGCAGCGAGGTCTGTTAACAGTTACATCTTGTCTCACCTTCTAGAGTGCAGTCACTTAGGGAGAGAAAATGATTTTAGAGTCATCTATACTGTTCCTGAACGTTTCACGCGCGGATTCCGGAAGCCTATTCTGTCTATGGTGGAAGCTATCTACATCCGCCACCTCAGGACAGAATTGTGCGTAAAAAAAGAGTTTGTAGTCCTTTACTTCTACCGTGGTCTACAACTTCGGCTGTGATTTCCCCTGTACATACTTGCCACTTTCAATGACCCCGTGATTTATTGATTTGTGCCTGTTGAAATTAAACATTCTGTTCAATACGAAGCCCAGTTCGGCATAATTAGCACTTTCTCGTCATCATGTAATGTTTGAGTCTGATGAGAATTACCGAGAAGAATTCTTTACTCACTCAGATTCTGCCTCCCTTGATTCATTCTAATATATGGTTTAAAAGCCTGTCCGCAAGGCAGTGGGGACTTAGCAATGATTTAGTTTTACAGAAATGGAAGCCAACACGTTTACAACCCCAACGTATAGGACCAGGTGACTGAGTTTGTCTGACCTCTCAATATTTACCAATCTGGTAGGAGCATCTCTCAAGGTGCCCTCAGGCACCTCCCAGCTCAATAGGTGAATGCGGTACGCAAACCGTCGCACCACGTTCTGTTCCAGTCTCGCTGCGACGGAGGGTCTCCAGCTGCGTGCAATCAATAGCGAAAGGATAAACCAGACGCATTTAATTCAACACTCGTATGATGGTCATTGATTTTACCTTCAGACACACAACATACATCAACACCCACGTTGTCAATGTGCATGCGGGTGTGCTCTGTTGGCATATTTGTCTTTGAGTGTGAAGATTGAACGCTCCCAGAGGAACGGGACAGTGTCGGCTCAAAAGGAGCTTTTGATGATTAGCTTCCAGCGGGCGGAGCATGAAGACAGCTGTTGAAAGTAAAACTGCAGTGGCACATCGTTGGTGTCAAGTAACCTGGGTAGGATAGAATGAAGGTTAGTAATGGGGGTCGGGATGGCAGTAAGAGAAACAGGTGGAACAGAAAGAAGGGAAGCACCAGCAGTAGCATGTTTCCGCTTATCCACCATGCTGTATACAGAAGATAAGTAGACCCTTGATAATCTGCGCGACGGCCGATGTAGGATGTAGTCAGCGTTTGGAGAAATTGTCACGATTTTATATGTGGGTTGGGCCAGGGCGTCCTGACCTAGACAGGAGGACGATTACGGTCCTCAACCAAAGCCTTTGGCACAAAACCCTGTCCACAAAGCAGCGCGGAGTTGGCACTGATTTAGTTTTACAGAAATGGACGCTATCCCCTTTCAAACACCTAACCTAGAGGACTAGGAGACTGAGTTTGTCTGACCTCGCACCACTGACCAACCTGGTAGTAGTAGCTCTCAATGGACCCGAAGTTACCGCCCAATTTAGCTCAATGGGTCAAAAAGCTACGCAAATCGTCACATGACGCTAAGGTCCAGTTGCTAGCGACGACCAGTATGATCTAACCAGGCACTATGTCCGGTAAAACAAGCAGCATTGGTTGGTTTCTTTTGGAACGCTTCGCTGGTATGGAATCATAAGATGAAAGTTGGCGCAACCTTGGTCGTGCTACTGAATTTGTCAAGCATTACAGGAATTACTGAGAGGAGACCGTAATTCCGACAAGAAGCCGACTGAAAGGTTCATGCCACAAATTGGCATGACTGTGAGAATAGGAGTGTAACTCGACCAGTTCGGCCAATCCCGCAGTCAAACCGGCCTGCACACAGTTAGCCGTGAGCTATCAGTGAGTAGATATTTATTCATATAAAATTCAAGGGTGTTGATTCAGGTGCGAAACCAAGTCATTTGCTATGCTGCCACATAGGATTACGACAAAGGGACAAGCAACCCACTCAGTGTGTCCGAGGCGACTCTGAATGACTAGTAGGAGGAATCACCAAACTATCCTTGGTAGATGCCTTAGTGCCGAAGCCAAGCTGAAATTGCCTTCGACTTCTGTCCACTGTTAGACACCGTTTGTATAGTTGATGACCAGATCACGATGGTAATGGAAAAATAAACATAAACAGATCCCCTGACAAAGCGTAAACAATGAAGACGCGAGATAATTTGTGGTAACGCCATTGAGCATAGAAAACTTACATGTCACAAGTAGATCGAAAGTGACGGATACACGGCCAGCCACGTTTGTAAGAATCATCTCGTAAGTGCCGGAGTCATCTTCGGACACTTGTCTGACAACTAAATGGCGTCCGCGCAAGACGTAAATTCGTGGTGTTTGAGCAAGATCGATGAGTGGAGCCAGGTCAAGTGTCGAGTGCGGTGGCGGTTCCCAGTCCAGGATTGGTTGGGGATCACCTTTTCTGCGCCACCTAACAGTGCACAGGAAAAGGGGGAATTCAAATTATTACTGATTACTGCTGATTTTTCACATTCCATGCAATGCGTGCACACTGTGTATCCACCACCTACAAAGAACACGTCACCACTTGCGGTGTGTAGATTTTTCCACAACGCGTCTGCCATTCAACACCGAATGTGTTCTCCCGCTTGTTGGCTTGTGTTCGCACACCCACGCCTGATTTTCGACATTCCTGCAGATTCCAACTTAGCACCGAATGAAACGGCGCACATTTGGACTATGGCCTGCCCCCAAGGTTACGCAGTTGAGGTACTTGCGAGGAGCATGCAACTTTGAAGTAGCCAGGCAGCGCAAGTACGTCATAAATCATGTCTAGCAAGATCATAAATTACGTCTGATGTTTGTCAAGGGAATGAGTCTAGATTGCAGTATACCATTCGCTGTGTTGAACTTAAAGAGATACAGCGCAGTAGACTTCCCGTTTGCTCCTGTGCTACACGGGGGGAAGGGGGTGGCTGCGACGATGGCGGCCGTGGCGTAGGTGATGGTGATGCTGATGGTTGCAGAATTCTAGTCATTAACTTCTTCCCGTCATTGCCCTCTCAATCGTACAGTTTGGGATGGACAATTACGGCACATTAGCAAGCATAAAACAACCTGGGCCACTCATCCCTGCAGTATTGCTAGGCAAATTAAACACGGAAACCAGTCTTACTCAATGTTCGGCGCTGGATTTGACATTTGGTCCATGAAGAAGGAATTTGATGGCGAATGGTCCGAGTAGTAACGAAGTTCCGCGTCATCATTTATCTTGACCACGTACGGTTGGTTCTTCTTTAACCGAGGCGAAAAATCCGAACGTTTCGGGGTAAAAAGAGCTGGAGTGAAAGGACGGAACATTGCAGAAGTTGACTTATTTGATATTCATCGCTAGTAATGACAAATGACTTAAACTCCTGACTTCGTTTTCACCTTCCCCAGCCACCTGAGCGACATTTTATGGGGTATCAAGCACCCATGCAAAAGTGGCGGCTCGTGTACTGATGTTGGGGTACAAGATCGACCCAGATGTGATCATAGACAAGTTACTGTCCAACTGCGCTGGTGGAACTGATGTCATTCGCCATAGCTGAATAGCGAAAGCTGCTAATTTCTGAAGTCATCTTCTGCTTAGATGGAAACTAGTCGTAGCTGCCAGAATCACTCACACCAAGCTAGTGGTTATCACATTCGCTAATCGAAGCTGGGCTGCAAGTTCTAAACTAGCTCGATCGAAACCGGTCTTATATGTCCGACCGAGAGTGTGGAGGTTGATTGACCTGGTCACTAGAAAGAACCACACCATGTCAAGGCAAATACCTTGTGGATCAAAGAGTACGTGCATACACTGTGATTCACTTTTTTGGCACCCGGTAAATACGATGCAATTGCTAGGGATGTTGGCATCATTGCGTGATGTCACTGCAAGTAGACTGAGTTTGGATGCGGGTTAGCTGGTATATTGCGCGCCAGAGAATAGGGAGGAGCAAGTTTTCCGTCTGCCTATTTGGCGCTTCCCTTTGCCTACTCTCTTCAACGTTACTTTGGGATGCACGAAGTATTCAGTCGATCAGACGGTAAAAACGACTGAAAATTTAGGTAGGCAGAATGAGCGCTAATGCTAATGGTCATCACGTTTGTGGATGAGGTCCACGGAACTGATAACGTCACTGGATAGCATTATGAATAGGAAAGCGCCGTCTAAGTTTATCTCTCACATGACCTTGCATTCAAGGACTAGTTTTTTATCCAATATAACTGGGTGGATTCTGTCGTTTTTTGATCTGCTGTGTAAAGCTGTCCGATCATTGTGTCAGGTATAGTCAGTCTTCCCCAGATGCGACGGAAAATTCGGTTTAAAAGCACTTTAGTTGAAGCGTGACTTAACGCGATCTAAACAACCGGTGATACAAAGTATGTATGAGTAGTTAGGGTACGACTCTCTCAGGTTATTTAATACTCCCATAACCAACCCATGAAATATGATTTTTAATTTCGTTGCACATCCTAAGCACGGGACCGAAAGAACGGAGTTCTAAAAGCACATACATATGACTTTGTGTTTCACAGAATAAAAGGAATTGTGCCGGGTGGTGGAAGTTCCTAGACGAACTATACAGCATTTTAGAGCGATTCATCCGAGCGGACCATAGTCAACTACCACGCATTAGGAATGATGCTGGATTGCCGTTAGGTCCTATTGGGCTACATGCATAGTGCACATTTCTCCGAATTTTGTAGAATTCAACTCAACAAATGTATTCTCACGGAGAGGCGAATTTAGCTGCAGAATTGTGGGTCATGACGATAGAATGACATAAGAGTCTAAAATTCGCGATAGCAGTTGAATAGGCTATATGTGAAACGAAGCATGCGAAACTATTACGTAACGCCCCAAAAGAGAAAAGCACACGAGGTCTGGGGTGTTGGGTCGTTGCAAGAGACGATCGAAGAATGTCTGATCGGTAGGTCCCAATATACTGTTCAGTGGAAAATAAATTCATGACTTCAGTCGGAACACATACAGTAACACGAGACTACTCGTGTAAACTCGGTTTCCCATAAGCGGACAACGGAAAGTAGAAAAATTACAGCTCATAAGCGGTTGCATGTAAGTTATACGAAAGCTGAAGATATAACACAAGAAAGCTAAGCACGGTAGGTTTGTTGTGCTCAAGTGATAACGACCAACTTCGGCGGAACATCAATATGCTCAGATCGCTACATGCTTTTATTTAGCGACTTCATGTAGCGTAATATTATTTTAATCGATGCTGATAAAGGTAGTTTTGATGACTAAGATGTCCTGAGGCAAGGAAATCTTAGAAACGCTATCAAGAGCGTGCGGTAACCCAGTGCGGATGCTCTCATTTGGGTTAAACAGAAAAAAGAATGCGACAGGAGTAATAAGGTGGTACAGACAAGCAGGAGGGGAGGAAGTGATGCAAGCAGGCTGCAGAATGTGACTCCTATCGAACAACTAATCTTAGCCAATTTAAGCAGTATTTTCAACGGCCCACCTACATACAATGCTAGCACTGTTGTTCCCTTAGCGCAATCAGGATAAAATGACGGAAGGAACATATCCAATACAAACGATGACACATTTGTACAGTGCTGATACGAACAGGGTGATGAATGAAAGTATGGTTCTATTAAAAGCGTGGAAGGACACTGATCTGAAAGCCCTCGGTTTAAAAAAACTGATATTAAACGTAAAGCTACCGCCTGCATAAACCTCTCACTTGCAGGAAGAGAACAAAGATACTTGGGGGCACAAAACATTCTCGTTTCAATGTGTAAGTATCGCTGCTTTATAAGCACAAACAAATTACCGTCAACATTTTGCTTTGGGAAAACCGCTCCACTTTCGCATCTCAAGCTAAGGAGGGCTTTAGCTTACTTCGTGAAGTGGTCCCATGTTAACCATGGCCCCTGCGTGTCCGCTGATAATTCAGCGTTCGCGGTATTTGCCATTATTGGTTCAAGTGGACCAAACAAAGCATATCCAGGAGTTTCGTACACCCAATGGTCAAATGATTCAAGATAGCCGAAACGCACTGCGTTAACCTACCTTTGCGACATTTTTGTTCAACTTGTGTCTCAAGAATTACGTGTGGTTGCACTGATTCGACGCTCTAACTCTTTGTGGATTACTCCATGTTCGATTCGGAATTATCAGTTGTACAAAGTGAACACTTCTTTTTCGCTTCCTCTTAGTGTCCCGACGTCGGATTCACGTCTATGTTTATGAAGGATTGATTGCTGAGACACACGTGTGCAACACCACAGTTTTCTACTATCAGCATTTTATACTCGTTCGAAAAAGTTTTCTTAAAGCGATCGTAAACCAAAAGGCGTGATTCTCATATACTATTTGCATTTCGCACTACCATGCTATTCACTACTATTTAATTGGAATCGATCGATGACCCAATGTTCCTAATCTTGTCAACCGATAAGCCTGTGTAAGTAATAAAAATGACTGCGCAGCCATACCAACAGCTAGTCCGCGCTCACGTGACCACGCTAACCAGAGCTGTAGTCTGATCGGTGTGTGCAACGGACCGAATTCAGAAAAGTACTGAACAGCTACCAGCTCACTGGGTCAAGCAATAACACTAGACAGAGTAGCAGAAATCAAACAAATACGGATGCAAAACGGCTCAAAGGTGAGTGCTGTCTGTGTGTCTGAAGAATGTAAAGCACTGGTCAAATCACGGTTAACCTAATCACACCGTTCCAGATGGTTCCATCCAAGGTGTGCTAATACATCCCACCGTGAGGTGCGTTAACGGAACTGCTCACCAGCCGTTTTATGGTTTTGTACCGCGTAGCTGACCATCTCATTTCAGAAATGCGCATGGTTAACAGCAGAAGGCAAACGGAGGATGAACTCTACGCTTAGTTCACTGGAAGCGAGAAGGCAGCAGTAAAGCACAACGGCCTCCAAGCAACGAGGCAGTGCACAATTTCCTTCCTCTGAACTGTGATGGGCAAGGTTCCCAAGGTTAGGCAGAAACAGACCGGGGCTCTGATAGTCAAGCATAACTCATACCAGCGAAAACCTTGCACCACCAAAAATTGGAGGTCGATAAAGTTCTACCGGTCCTGAAACTTCCATGATTAACATAGATGGGGCAGCCGAACATCAGCCTTCTGTATCTGCAAATCATAGGTCTCTGGTCGAGCCCTAGTCCCCGGGGATTTCCGACACATGCAGAAATTGCTGCAAAGCTCAACTGAGATGACATCTTTATTGTCGCTTCTGTTATCAACGCCGATAAGACGAATGGAGAGAAGGACAGTAAGCAATCGCCAGTTGGCAGAAAGCCAGGACCGACAATTACCCGATCCTGCAGTTCAACGAAAAAATATCCAACAATAGCGCCATGACTGTTGTGTGCACAAATGTCTGCGAATCTACCAATATTACAACGCGGGGTTAGTTGTCTGATGACTAAGACCAATTGCATTTTGAGGAACGTCAAAGCCGAAACCATAAACTTGTAACCGAACGCTGTAAACTCTGGTGAACCCAGACTTCTTACTTAGAGTGACTTTAGCATCCAATATGACGTTTGCTCTCTGACAGACATCTAAAATATCGACACTGTTGGATGCACATCTAACTTGTTTTCTCATGGAGCGCGCGATAACACCGCGGGAGATCACAGCAGGCTGGATCACCTAAACTCAAACCCCATCCATGGTGTGCCAGAGATTTCACACGATAATCAAGATAACGGAACTCAACATTTTGAACAGTGGCGGTTCATTCGCGAAACACCGAAGCTCCACTGGACTTCGTGTTCACTCTATATTGAAGTAGGTTCAGGCGTGAAGTGATCATAGTCTCTTAAATAATCTGGCCGAACAGAAAGATCGCCAGAATTATGAGCCATGGGAGCTCATCGGTGTCACTGTGACTTGGTTACAAGCCGGAAGGACGGACGTTGAAGGAGCGCTGTCGGGTGTTACTCAGCCGGAACGACCGACAAAAATGGAGGAGGGGTAATTATATATTTACAAAGCGACAGAGTGCGAGGCCATCGGGGATTCAGACTCGTTTATACTCGATTAAGTTTAGTGAAGCCCATAGTTATAAGGGAGTGACACTTACCTACAGCCTTGGTGGACGGCCTCCAAACTGTACGCCTGAAATGGACTGTCACCTTGTTATTACTCTAAGACGAACTCAAAAAGACACATCTTTATCAATGGTGGTTTCAACGCACGTTGGTTAGAACCCACTGCCATGATTGGAGCACAAGCCTAAGGTCATCTGCAAGAACTCGGTACCAGTGTTCCGCCTTGCAATAGCGTCAATTTACCCACTCGGTTCATGGCATCAGCAGTAC